CCCCCCCCCCCCCCACGGCGCAGAGAAAAATGCAAGGAAATTGCCGAGTCGACGAGTTCGCGGAGGCGATTTCTCGGGGATTGACTTCGTTTCGCAGAACACGCAGAGAACACCGGGAGGGAATTCCATTCGACTTCTCAGCTTGATTCCTTTGAGGGCCGTCAGAACGATTTCGCCCGATGCGAGAGGGAAAGCCTCCAGCATCCTTTTAGCGATGAATTTCACAAAAAAAAAATTCGGTACGTCTGCCTGGAGTTGAATTCATCGTCCACTTCTAGAGGTCTTCCGTAGAGCTTCTTCAGGCTCGGAATGCAAAGTTAATCTGATATTTCAGCGCGAGACAGGATGAGAAGCTCGCACGAGAACGGCGAAAACGAATTTAATTTGAATCGGTGAACGTGAGCTGGATGAGATCGGGGCGGGGTGGGATCGCATTCGTGCCAATTGGCTACGATGTTCACACATCCCAGGGGATGTAGACAATTCTCGCATCGCCGCAGTGAAGGATGCGATGTTTCGCAAGGCGTTTTTGGAGATAGCGAGGGAAAATTCCACTGCTTCCTCACATAAATACCACAAGCGACTTTCAACGAGGAAAAAAAGATCGTTTGCATCAGGCAGACTGTCAATTTTTCTTGCAATCGCAAAGCATATTTTCTGCAGATAAACCGCTTTGAAGCCCCAGCCGGACGACATCATCCCGGAAATTAAAGCTCGGAGGCGAATCAAGACGTCATCCTGTCAAGAGCGATCGGTATCTCCGGTGTGCACATCTCTCGAGGAAGCAGAGAAATCGCTGCAGTAATTTACTTCTGCAGCACTCATCAAGGGCTCTGAGGTTCTTTTAGCACAACTTTCGCTCTGAAAATCGATTACGTTTTTATTCCTCTGTCTATAGACAAGCCTTTGAATCGGCAGGGCTCAAATCATCTCAGCTCCTGCTGAGAATGAAATGGCATATACATCATGCGGAAAATAACTGGGGCACTCCATAAGTCCAAATCGTATTTATTCCTTAAAGAGAATGGAAGCAGATCACCGATTTCATGATAGGAAAAGGAATGAATAAATTGTGCTCAGACAGGAAAAAAAACCCAGTGCGAGTCGAATCGAATGATGAACATAAAAATTTCTTCAAACACCACCTGATAACTTAGAACTCCCTCGATAATAAATAGAACTCATACATGCAACGATGTATAAAAGAAACCCTTCTCCCAGAGAATTCGAATAAATTAATGCAAATACACCTCACAAACAACTGTATACAGCATCTGTACTCGTGAACAGTCGTGCAGAGTTTGAGGCAGTGAGCGGCAAACATATAAAGAACACTACCGTTTTTGCTGAGAAGCCTTTGATAGACATTTGGTTTTGATCACAGGGCATTTGACAGTGAGTACAAACACAACATTAGTATTTCCCCCTCATATTTGCACGTTCACACATCTTCCTCCGACGAACAACGAACGAACGATCGGGAAACGAGAGATTTACACGATTATCTTCAAAGAACAGGTGAATAAAATTTGCATAATTTCCTTCTGCACCTGCAGTTTATAGATTCCAACCGGGATAAGAAACTTCTGCAACAGAATTGCAGACTGTGCAACAATGGGAAACTTTCGTAATGTTCTCGTATGGGATAACTCTCTCAAAATGTTAAAAACTTGTATAAATGCCAGACCACCGGGGAAACTCGGAATATTTCCATACTTTACAGAAAACACTTCCATAGGATAAATTCTATAATTCAACCCTGAGACCCACAACACGAGAAAAAATCATGTAAAATACAGCAGAAGAAAAGACGAGTCAAACCTTTGGCATTCATCCACATGAGTTTGTGCAGAGATGGTCCCCACTTGAAGCAATGATAAATGATTTGGGGGAGGGGGGTGGGGGAGAGAAAACAAAGCCACAATGATCTTGGAATGATTGAAGCTGAGTCATCAGACTGGAATCTATAATGCATGCTTATCACCGCTGATAAATAGGATAGCGATTTTTTTTTTCACTCTACATGGAATAAAGCAATAAATTATTCTGTCATTTCTCCTTTTCAACAAATCTCAGTTTAGTTAAAGCTGCCCTCAACAGATCCTTGGTATCTACAAAATAGATCATAGAAAAATAGACAATAAATAGAATTCTTTGCTCGAACATTCTTTTGGGGAAGACCTCATATGTGGTTACTTAGGGAAGTGTCTTGGAAGCCAGTTTCTGGTGTTTCTGAGAAGCAAAGTGTTTCTCAAAGTTATCCTTCCGGTAGCAGTAGTAGTTGCAGGCATCGCAGCGGTAGAGTGGGACGCATCCGGCCTGGGCCCCGTGCTTCTTCAGGTGCCGTCCGTAGGACGAGGAGCTGCTGAGGACCGATGGACACAGGGGGCATCTGAATGGGGCCGGGGAGTTCGTCACTGACCCAGCCAAACTCAGCGGGTAGCCGGGCTGCACATGCAAGAGATGGAAAGGATTACCAAATGGACAAGCATAGCATTTACTCAAGTGCTTTGTTTATGGCACTGTATAATTACTGATTTTGAGACTGATTTTGGGTCCACATGAAAGCATCATGACATAAATTTGACAAATACAATTTATAATTACCATTGGAAATTAACTTCCCATTTGAGAAAATTGTATTTATATGAATTTATATATATCATATCTATTTGGAGTAGTAATAAAATGTATTCAGAACAAAAAGTTATAGTCAATTTCAGAAAGCCAATCAAATGCAAAGCCATTCTAAAATGCAGTTATGATTCAGTAAAACAGTTTGCTCAGTAGGAAATTTCAGGACCAACTCTCTAATATTTAATTCCAACAGTGGCTCATGATGTTCTGGCAACAGTAAAAGTAGAATTATTAAATCTTTCAGATATACGAGGGGCATTCAAAAATGTTTCCACCCAAGGCACTTTAAGTTGTAATACACCATTCATATTTTCTTCATAGTAAGACAGATGTCTTTGATGATGAATGGAAAATTTAAAACTTATTTGTCTATGATGGAAAGCTTCTATGAATTTTTTTCAATGTGCTACCAAGGAGTCTGCTGAAGGGGTATTCAAATTGAAAAGAATGCTGTGATGAATTTTTTAACCTTGAAAATCCATTTTCTTAATGGATCTCGTAGAGTAGGGTCAATAATACAGTATCCTCTCAGCTGCTTAAAGATCTGCTGAGAAACCAACTCCTTCAAACATATAAGGGTGGCTGAGATTTCAAAAGCCAAGTTATACCCATAAGGTCAATAAGGGTTGGAAGTGTTCAAGTGGACATTGACAACTTGTGAATGCTCCTCAAACAGCAGCTTTTCATACTCATCGCTCTTGAACAGGTGTTGATGAGGTCAAGAAGAGTTGGGATTGAAAAATGAGCCTCTGGAGCAAGGGTACATAACCTGAGACTTTCAAGTCATGGGAGATTCTCAGACTGTGATGACTTGCACAGTTCTTTTGACTTACTGCCTGGGCTTCTTTTCAAGTACTTTTTTCTCATGGTTTTAATTTCCAACACATATACAATGACAGTGGAATGGATGAATTCAATTGATCCATGGATAACATGTGGGCAGGATCCATTGCTGCAAGCTTTCCAGTTTCATAGCTCATGTTCATTTTGGGCTGGATAAAAAAATAAAAAAACTAGTCTATTGCAAAAATCCATTCTGGCATAGATATTGTTCCAGATACAAAAGGATAAGATCCTCTGCTCCTCCTAAAAACCCTCATGAAAGGAGCAAGAGAGTAGAGAATGAAGCAGCAAGAACTAACAACATCTCCGTCATTGGTCTCTTCCTCGTTGGTGCCTGGATTGGAAGACTCATCTTCGTTGTCTCCACCGGTAGTTTCACTCATCCTGCCCTCATCTGTTCCTCCACCAGCATCCATGTCCATATCCTTCTCCTCTCCTGAACCCTCTGATTTCACACCCTACAGAATCCAATGCACTTTCTTGTATAAGACTATTTCTGGACCTTAGTAAGAATTAGAGTAGGTTTGAGGATGGAACAAGTTGACTCAGCAGCACTCCTAGCAGGATCCATGCACAAAGTACGCTTTGAGTTACATGCTGTGACACTCAGATGCATTGCTGTTGCTTTTAAAAATATATCAATTATAGTTCAAACTTCATTAAGCTTGAATAACATGTGTGACGTCTTCTGGAAAGAAAAAGTGTGTAAATGCATAGTTCCCAGACTCTTCTCACACACAGGCAGGGTAGATGCTAGAGCCAGTCAAAGCTATTATCCAGGAGATGTCAAAAGAATGACAGCTAATTAGAACAATAAAAAGTCACTGGGAGAATAAGAAAAAATTTAAAGTCTGGAAAATAAATTGTTTCCAGGATGAAAATAAAAGGAAGGCAAGAAACCCTGAGCTTCAGACTCAATGAAAACAAAATTAATAACTGAGAGATGAACCTGAACAATTCCACTAACAGTCCATATTAAGTGACTATAGCAGCAAAGAAACCTACACATTAAACCTTTATATTGTTGTCCTATCCAACAAGGTGGAAATGTATATTATCCTTGGAGAGAAAACTGGCTCCAAACATAGGAAAAGACATATATGAGATATAAGAAATACAAGTAATCAGTGGATATGAAACTAAGGTTTAAAAAAACCAAAGGATCTAAAAAAAAAAAATGGATGAAATGATTCATCCCCTCAGTTTGGCATGTTCCAATTTTGAACCTGAACTTGAATTCTCCAGCCTCTTGTCTTCATCAGGGGGTGGATGCAATGTAGGCTCTGCTCATGGGCTATCAAATGAGGTGACTTGAAAGAGAGAAGCACACAGGAGGAGATCCCTGGTTTTTGAGTCTTATGCAATGAATGTGCTCATCTAAACTATCACCATTCTTGCCTGATCAATTTATAGATTGAAAGCACAAACATTGCCAAAGATAAGCTTATTGCATGAGAACTGCATGGATAGAATGATCTAAAACTTCCAGCTGGGTAGATATGAAGGGAAAGGTGTCAGCAAAGGAAAGTACAACGATTAATAGCAGAAAGTTCAGGGCGTGATATGACTTCCTAAATGTTTTTCTCTACTGGAAAGAGAGAATTAGGACCCTTTTCACTGCAGAAAGTTTTGGGGGAAACAGGAAGGATAGAAAATGGAAGTGATAAGGTTTGTGCCATATTTCAAGCAGGAAAGAAAGGCAGGCACAAATGGGATGCATCTGTCACAGTCCATAGTAATGGTCCATGCATGGAGAAAAAGATTCTGCAAATGTCTGGAATGTTCTGAGCTCTGGGAAGAGAGGCAGACGGATTCTGTAGATCCTTCTCAAGTGAAGAATGGATCAGAAATGTCAAGAGCTCTTGGAGAATTAAAAATCCATAGAAATGATATGTCCTCTTCAAGAGTACCCCACATGTTGTGCAAATACAATATAATCAACGAAATTGGGACAAGATGAAGAAAGATTTATATATTTTAGAAGAAAAGATGTAGAGCAAAGGTATGGCCAGCAAAATAAAATAAATGATGGGAGTGACCTGGGAGTATCTTGAGTTCCAAAGGGAAGGAGAGACACAAGGTTTTGAGTTCATCAAAGAAACAGCTGCATAAAAACCATGAATTCTTAATCAGTTTAAGTGGCTCTTCCAAAAATTTCATCTATGTAATGGAAGGGGCAACAATTTAACCTGACAAGGCTTAGAGGGGCTAAATAAAGATTTTTTCTTTCATTGCCCATTAGTACCACCTTTAGCATTACCTGTGTATAGCATTGCCATACTTCAAGCTGCAACCGGTAACTGCCAAAAGTGGCATGAAATGAAGGCACAACTGAAATTTACTGAAAGCTGATACTAGAACTCCAGCCTTCTTTCTCTTGTTCTGTCACTTCAAACTGACAAAACTAAGGAATAACTAGGCAAGATAAGGTGATATTGATAGCAGTGTCCTTCATACCTCAGAATGATATACCACTCAGAATACATTATGCTTTCTAAATCAAATCTAAAGAGGAGGTAAGGTCTACTTCATCTAAAAGTAGCTAAATCAATTAAATAACTAATTAATCAGAATACATTCAGCTAGTCACACTTTTCCATCAATAAATGGCTGCAGGATATCACCACAACAGATCGGCTACTGGCTAATAGGAGAATTTAATGCTCAATATGAAAACTAGAGACCTACAAATTACAAATGAGACTCACATCAGTCAAAGCATTGCCAGCAGCATCAAGATCTTTGTCTCCTTCATGATCTGGTTCCAGGCCACTGTCATCCTCAGGTTTGTTTCCATCCTCCTCCACTAAGATCTTCTTCTCATCTGGTTGAGCCTCATTAGTGGGTGTCACTTCGAAGACAGGCTCAGATGAAACAGCAGCACTCAGATACTCCTTCACTGAGAACCTTGGCATGTGTCGCTTGCGGCTTCGTCGCCCGGGCTTTGGAAAAGGTGATGGATTCACCATGATACCAGAGTCATTCAACATGCGGGGAACTTCATTAACATCATTGTAATTCCCCATGAATCGAGCTGGGTCTTGCAGAGATGGATATCCCTCGAAGGAATCTTCTCGGGGACTGGAAGGATGGTTCCGAGGTGAAGAATCTCCTACATCAGTGAGGCCCTTGATCTGCAGGGCCTGGGCGAGCCGTAGCAGCGAGGACAGGTTCTCCTGAGCAATGTTCACTTCACCTTTGTACATGAACGTCAACAGAGATTCCATCTCGACGCAACTCACGTCGCGCAGGAATATCACAGGATGTTTGCACGGGGTGTTCATTAGGAGCTCCTGGAAGTAAGTGGAGCATGCCGAGAGGACGACCCGATGGGCCTGGAAGTTGCGTCCACTGCAGGACAACGTGACATCGATGAACGCCCCCCGCTTGAGCAGCTGGTCGAAGACGTCCACCAGGTTCGGATGGTGGTTATTCCATTTCAGGAGGAATAGCTCACTCATGGCTTCTCAGCTGCAAGGTGTTACACTTCAAATGAATGGTCTGTTCATCACAGAGTAGGTAGCATGTGCTACTTTGGAGTTGTTTATTCTTCTTGCTTGACTCTTTGAAGAGCTGTAACATGGAAACCGATTTAAAGATAATTTAATAGCATGTTATACTCATCACTTGAAAAGGGGATATTCGTAGTGGAATTGTACAAGTAACAGCCCTAGGACTGCCAGCATTTCTCAAACTTTTAACATTCAGGCAGTAGAGAAGGAATACCACACTCCTTCTATCTATATCCATCACAATCCTCATGTGACATCTCCCCCATACCCTCCCTAATATTCATGCACATGCTCTGATTGAGAAGAAATTAGAATAGCAAAGAGAAAAAATATTAGATTATGTGCAGGGGCAATGAAATTGTGGATAATAGGAAGACCCCTAGGATCTGTATCCAGGAAAAATGACTCTCATGTACATACTGGAAGCTCATCAAACAATGGATTGCATATCTCAAATGCAATATCTTTCCAATAATTTCCTTTAAATCTATTCATAGGTAATATAAGGTTATCTTTAAAAAGCATAATAATAATATATATATATTTATTTATTATTATTATTATTATTATTTGGTAGTACAGGCTATGGTATCAAAAACTCAGTACCTGTAAATTTTTCCAAAAATCAAGTATTATCTGGCTGCATTGAATCACATTATATCTAATTGCAAAAAGTTCCCCTAGTGAAGAAGTTCTACCACTCATCTGTATAAACAATTATGAGAGATACTCTTTAATGACCAAACCAGGGCATTGTTGATTATCTTGACCATTCTGCTCTTTTGAATGCCTTGTGCCAAACTTCTTCCACCACAGAAATTTTGAGTTTGTGGTCCAGTTTTAATATGTCTATATCATCAATTTCACCTCAAGAATTTGTCCTTTGGTGTTGTTATACTTTAATTTTTTTTTCAGCTATTTTTATTTTGAGATATCTTTAGTATCAGTGGGCATGCTTATGCTCTCTTGGGGTTATCCCTGCAATTCAGAGCATTGTCAGGTAGCACATACCTTGTTTATCTGTATTATTGATCCATCTCGTCTCTCTGAATAAACTCTATATTCCTATATTATAACTCCATATATATATTCTTCATATTCTTCCCATGGGATCAGAATTTCAACATTAGGTACCAGAGTATAGAAAAAATACTGTGAATGTCATTATGCAATGTGCTTATGACAATCAGAGGACCTCCTCAATGTCCACTGAATCATTGCCAAAAACCATACTGATTATACGTTCTTCAAAAGGTAGATATCCACCTCTCCAATTCAAAATTTGCCCAAAGGATTACTTTTAGGGCTATATCCCCTACTTTGTTCCCTATCAATGGAAGTTCCCATTTTCAATCCATGAATCATGGGAGAAACAGAAGGAAAGCTTAAAGAATGGATGAGCAATGAGAGACAAAAATGATGGCATGGGCTTGTCAGCTTCCTTCCTGGGAACTGCAATGGTAGACCATGCAACATGTACCATTCTGGCATAATATTAGACTTTAATTTATTTTTTGTGCAGAAATCTTTCAATCCTGGATTATATAAGGTCCTAATATTTGACTTCATATACAATTATATGAGCCAAGTTCAAACATGAACATCACAAACAGGCCTACTTGAATATCACTCTCCATTAGCAATAATTGTATTTTCCTCTTGACTAATGGTAGATAGTTTTCAGTTGTCTTTCCAGATAAGAGTGAAAAGGGAGAGGAGCAGCTAAGACATGATGGATTCAGAAGTGATGATTAAACAAAAACCAAAAAGTTCTTTTCTGTCCTAAATCTGTTGAGAATGAAGAAAAAATGTCCATGAACTATGATAAACTGACTTGATCATACTGTTATGTTCCAGATTATTGTTTATTTGCCTTCAGACATATCTTTCCATAATCAATGAAACTTGTGCCACTTTCAATTCCCCCACTTCCATCGCATTTGACTAAACAAATTGCACTAGTAGGCATGGCAAAACCAACTTAGGATTGGGTGCACACATGTGTACAAACGAAACAAAACAGGTTCATCCATGATAGTTATTACATCCTACAATCTATTCATCTGCTCCCACCATATGTAGGCTTACTGGCGAAAACTTAGGCCT